CTCCTGTGCGACAAAAATATGTGGATCACTAGATAGGGTTTGTGTAACATTAATCTTGCATATACATTCAAAAAGAAAACATATTAACCTTTATTCTTTATTTTTCTCAAACAAACATGAGAAAAATATGAAAGAGCGTCTAGTTGCAACACAGGACTTACCCTACAAGTAAATAGTGCTGGTAAAAGCATATGTTATAAAAGGCTGAGGGACTTGCAATTCCGAGATCGCCAGGCGTAAAACCAACTATATGTCTTTCCGGTAGATCTACATGTGAAAAGGTATAAGGATTCCGTTTACATGTACTTTCATAGAACTCTTGGCATCAAACGACAATACTAATTATGCCTCATACCTCCTTAACTTTTTTCCAGCAAGATATAAAGCATGTAGGAGTATGTGGAAGTTCAGCTAAATTTCCCGCAAAATTTTAAGGTAATATATTTTATTATATATTTTTAGAAAAAAATGTTTCAAAGGATTATTGCATTTGTACAAACGAAACTTTATTCACTATGGACATTAATATTTAGAAAAAGTAAAATGCCAGAAATCAGGCTTAATTGTCTTGTTGTTCCTAGCGATTCAGTTAGAAATATTACACAACAACATGTCATTACAATCAAAATTAACAACAATGAATTCGTTCATTCTCTCAGATCACAAATTAAAAAAGAACATACTCCCTGATTTGATAATATTCTAATTACTGAATTTGTAGTCTATGCAATTCCTTAAATTCAGATAAAGTGCTAGCATTGGTTAATGCTGAAGGAGTGATGATAAGCGTGAATAGTGGGAGACAGGATGAAGGACGGGTGCTAATTCCAATACACAATATTCTTGATCATTTTCCCAAGCAACCTTCTGAAAAAGATATTCATATTATAATTTATTTAAATATTCAAACATCCCAGTAGTGAGCAGTATTTTCATTGTACCATTTTTTATGTATCAGTTGCTACGGCAATGTTTTTTTATTTCTTAAATAAAGCATATATTATGTTCTTGTTGTAAATCTTGAAAAATGCCATGTATAGTGATGTAATAATAATATCGCCTGACAATCCTATACTACGTATTAATTGCATATACTGTATATTGGGCAAATGCATTATAAATCAACACAAAAAATCTATCATTTCTCCCTGAGCGTCGGAAACCAAAAAATACTTTTATATTCATAAACCAGCTTTACCTGTAACTGTAGTCTAGTGCATATTTTTTCACAAGCACAAACCTATATATATAAAACCATGTCTTCACAAGCTTCTTCACCCGCTTCACCTGCCTCAATAATGGAAGAAATTTCCACTAGAACAATGTCGGACGTTGTTAAGGATTTTAATACAGAAGAGCTTATCGAATATTTGGGAAGGAAAGACCTGAAGCTCAAGGAATCTCACTTTAAAATTTTACGCAAGGAAGAAATCATCGGTCTAGCCTTTCTCAAGTTAACTAAAGAGGATTTTTACAGTATTGGCTTCGCGTTAGGTCCAGCAACAGTTCTCGCAGAATTCATTGAAGGTCTTGACCAAAAAATAAGAAACTATTCCTCGCTTAAAACTCTCGATAACCTGAAGGAAATGTTATGTAGAAATAAGGTCAATGGGGAGGATATAACAAACATCAAGCAGTTTACTCCTGTTAGGTAATTAATTATTTTTCGAAGCTGACTAGATAGCTATATTAACTTTATTTTTTCTCTGTAGTCTTCGAGAAGATTAGTGATGATGATAAAGTATTCAAACACTGTATGAAGGACATTATCTTAAAACTTTCGAACGTGAAGACCATGACCGATGCTATGAATTTATTTCAGCTATATTACATACATCAATTACCATTACCAAAAAACTCACCTCTCAAGATATATTCATAGTTTTGCAGAAAGACGTTTCCGGTGAAGATGCAACGGGCAGAGTAGACTATGTGATCAAAAGTTTAGAAAACCTTCTCTGTATTACCGAAGGGAAGCTACGCAATATTAAGATTGGATATACGCAGGTGTGTCTACTATACAGATCTGTGTTTTTAGAGCGCCAAGCTGAAAGAGATTCAATATTAACACATTTTATTTTTCTTAGAATCTGGCTCAGCTTGAAAGTGCATTCCAGATGAATAAGAAGAAGCGGACTGCAGATCAAGCATTCGGGAATGACTATTTCGACTATATCTATGGTATTGTGACCACAGGTACAGAGTGGCATTTTATCATATATACTCCTGATGGTATATACTCTACGAGTGGAAGTGAATATCAAATTAATCTCACGAAGTCCGCCGTTAAAGAAAATTCTGAGCTACTTCGAAACGTGAAAAGGGTAATAGGTATAATTATTGGGTTGTTGAAGGATCAGGTTAGTGTAGATAGTTCTCCGTCTAGCAAGAGGGCTAGGATCAAAAAAATTATCAAAAAATAATGTATCCCGGGTTACGTCCTGAATATTTATATTTATTTATATTTATTTGCATGTATTAATAAAAAATTTCAGCCGGAACGCCCGGTTAAAAAACACATTTTTTTATTTTGAATGCTTATATACAGTGTATTAGTTTTATATATTATAGATCATGTCATCCGAGCTTGAATCATTGAAACAGCATATCACTGAGCTTGAGGCTGAGAATATTAAGATTATAGCTGATTATGAGATTGAGATTGCTGTGCTTAAGGAGGAGAACGCTAAGATTTCTGAACTTAAAAAGGAGAATTCTGATCTTAGAATGAAGTTCACTAACTTTGATGCTGAGAGAGCTGAACTTAAACGTAGGATTGCTAAGGCTCTAAGATCAACTGAGAAAGAGAAAACGAGACGTATTGCTGAGAATACCAAACTCAAAGCTAGAATTGAGGAGTTGGAATCTGAGTTTAAAGATAGACTCACGAAAGTGGAACAGAAGCAAACACTAAATGATAATACCCCTAATGATAATACCCCTAACAAAAACTCATCTAATTTTGCTTTAGCGCCTTCGGCCAATTTGGGTATAGTCTATCATAAAAAACCGTTAGAGGAGAAAGAGATGGATAGTTTCTTGCTTGAGGCTCATAAGAAAATCGTTAGTAGTGAAATAAAGCAACGCAATAAGGAAAAGAAACTTAGCAAAGTAGAGCAAGCATCTCTTAACTAAGATCAAGAATCTGACACTGGATGCTTCACTTCTAAAAAGATACTGGAGGTATCGAATCCCGTGACTAAAATTTCAGCTGGGGTCCCTGGCCAAAATAGCCATAGGAAGAAAGGTGCAGAAAACATCATACAATTGATAGCTAACGGTATTAAGGATGATGCCCAATCGAGCAACAAAACCATTCCTTGCGATGTGATTTCAATTAAGAGCCTTAACCAAATTTCATCTACAGATTCATTGCTTTCTCTAGCACAATTATTCAATAAAGCAGATGATGCTGAATATGGCGTAATTTGTGCTAATCAGGAAGAGATTTTATGCTAGTATTATTATGGAAAGGAATTTTTAACCCAGGTTACTGTGATTGTACAAGATGGAAAAGGCAAAATAGATGAAAAAAAGGCAAAGGAAATAATCTATGATAAAATGTTGGAACGCTTATCCATGTTGCGAAAGCAACGATCTGAAGATACAGGATTACATCTTCCAGAAATCTCCTGTAAAAACATATAAAGGAAAATTCAGAAAGCTGTAAAAATATATAAAATATTTGAAAAGGTAGGCGTAGAGAATATTAAGTATATTACGACATATAGTGCAAACTTTATTTCTGAGTTGCCTAATGATAAAGTTCAAGATATCATAAAGGCCTTAGAAAGGTGGGATAATTTATCTGAGCATAATGATAATGATAACACTGATGTGGAAGAAGTACTAACCAATATGGTTAGGATTTCAGCCAGCCCCAGTCAAAATCATGTAACCAAAAATCCTGAAACCAGAGAAAGAATTATAAATGCTCCACTGGCTTTAGAATTAACTGAGGTTAATACATTGGCAAATGTATTATCTGCACCTCAATCTAAGCCCGATCATTCCTATTTTCGCAACAAGATATTGGATCAATATTCTAATCTATATAGAGAATGTAGTATTGAAAATTTCAACTATTATGGGATTACTGATAAGACAACATGCAGGGACTATATCTGCCCATTATGCAAATTAGGCCATAATGATGAAGAAATAGAAGGTAGGTATAAAGCAGGATCTTACTTTATTAAATGTGAACAGCGTAAAATTGAGATAGTTGCATAGTCTCATTGCTTTACAATAGTTTAAAAATTTTAATCTTTTTTTTTCGAATGAATAGGTCTATATGAAAAAAAGGGATTTAAATTGTTTGCAGACATATAAAAAGGAAAATGACTGAGTCTGATAAAATACTAACTCCCGAATATCTAGACTAGCATGTCAAATTAAGTAGGTTACCAAGCATTTTGACGGATAAGATTCGTTCCAAATTATACAAAAGATATAAAAAACAAACTGGAAATAAGCTATGGCAATCATCAGAAGCTGTGATAGATATGTCAGCAGAACCGGTCCCTTGCCCTGAGCGCCTTCGGCTGGGACTACCTCAAGCCTCTAATTTCAAGTATATCACCTTTGAAGCCAAACCTGATCCAGAATCAATTATCCAATCAGTCTTAGAGCACTTTCTATACTTGAAATTCCGAAATAGTTTTAGAAGGATTGATAATTATAATTTTACATCACCTCAGCCATGGAGCTCACCATGCCTTATTTGCAATGGAAAACATGGAAATTATGGATTACATGGCTTATGGTACTGCAAGAATGGGAATCAGTTCTCTTATGATCCTGAATTAGCGAAATTGTATTCCCAAGATAAGTTGAAATATTGTCTTACCTGCAACACTTCAAGCAATAAACTCAAGTTCGCGATTGTATCATAAAGCTTATCATGTATAGCGAGCTAGTCCTACACTTGTATTTATTTTTTTCATCGTTCATTAATAAACCATAAAGAATCTTCGCGCTTATCACTTAGTGATGTCATGATGTCAAAGATCTTTCCACCAAATTTTCTACCTCCACGTGATTACAATTTTTTTGTGGCTTGGATCATTGATAAATCTCATTTTTTTTTCTTCACTATTATTTTCACCAACGTAAAAAGTAAAAATGTAATTACTTCCTGAATGTTTCGATAATCTTAGATACCGTGGTAAGGAAAAATGCAGGAATGAACTTTTTTGACAGTCTTTATCGTTATAGCTTAACCTATCATTTGTGGAAATATATAGCTTTTTAGGAGAAATCAGAGAAACCTTCACTTAAGAGTTTCTTGGATTTCCGTTTACAAGAAGGTGATTTAGAACGAGAGGAAACGGAACACAGTCGATATAGGGGTGAACTAAACACCATTCTCAATTATCATGCTGAAGCGCCAGAAATTAGGGAAGAAGTGCAACAGGTGTTAAGGAATTTCCAGGTAAATATATTTTATTTAGGTTATACTGTCATAGACTACCCTGCTGGTTGCGTGCTGGCAGTGGAAAAGGTCGCGTGCTTGTTGGTGAGCAGTATTGTAAATAATATGTTAGTATCTGTACTCACCAATTACCCTACTGGTCACGTGCTGGTAGTGGAAAAGGTTGCGTGCTTGTTGGTTAGTGTACAGTGTCGGTAGACTACTTTGTGGGTTGCGTGCTTACAGGGGAAAGGTTGCGTGCTTGTCCATCAGTCGTGTTTCTAGAGTTTTATCACATTTTCTTTACATGCGAGACGATTATTAATTATCATTTAATTTGATCTTTGTAAGGACGAAAAAAAATCAAAGGAAGTAAATAGTTTTTGGGATCTGCAAGTTAAGCAACAAATCATTCATGAACCTTAAATTGGTTGAGCCAATAACATTTCGTAAAAAATACTATAAAAGCCAAAAATATGTCTATCACTTTATTATGTCTAGTCAAAGGAAATACAACTACAAACGCCTTCCCTGTCCATATAGAAGGGAGTAGTCTTGTTGGTGACCATAAGGACGCTATAAAGGTGAAAAAACAAAATGACTTTGCTGGTATAGATGCAGACAGGCTCAAGCTATAGAAAGTGCCAATCTCTGACGATCGCAACGATCAATTAAGGAATCTTTCACTCGAGAATAGCGATGAACTGTTAGCAATAAATGAAATTGGAGACTACTGGACCGAGAAACTGCCTAAGAGGCATATTCATATCTTAGTCTCTCCACCAGAGACCACTGCCACTTCGAGCTGTGAACAGGAATTACTCGAGCAAGTCGCTTCATTGCAAGCATTACTCAATAAGTTCACACATGGTACGTATAAATTTTGGTTATATTTTTGCCGAAGCCCCTAACAGGTATAAAGAGAAACTGTACTGTACGATCAGTTAACCTGTACTGTACACTATATGTATTAAAATTCGTACAGTACAATTTACTACTTTATTAAGTGTTAAACTGTACTGTACGAATTTTAATACATATATTGTACAGTACAGTTAAAATTTCTGTAAATCACGTGACTACGAATAATGCGTTTTAACATAAATTTTTAATAAATAATTAAAATTTTGATTGTAATTCATCCATATTTTTTTGTTATACTAAGACCCATTACCTATAAGTGATTCAATGAAATTATAACAATCACCCATAAACTTAAGAATTTATTATTTATATTTCTTTACAATTCATTATTAATTCCTACTATTCAAACAATATCTATACTAAAATTAAAAATATAATACCGAAAAACTATAAACCTAACATCTGATTTCGCTTTTCAATTAGCCTAATTTCTCTTTTAAGCTCATCATTTTTTTGTTTTTGAATAGATAGCATTTCTTACGCCAAATCATTTATTTTTCTTTGTACTTCAAGGCGTGGATTTTCGTCAAATTCATCAATCTCAACTATATTTTCCTTGTCTTTTGAACTATTTTTTTGTTTTTTTGAAGATGACTTTTCCTTTTGTTTATTCTTTTGCCTTTTCTCTAATAATTGAAAAATA